TCTTAATTGAGTTATTCCAATATGTGTAGCTATCATGTTTAGTCTAATACAATATGTCTACGTATCTTAATTGGTTGTGTGAATTATGTGCAGCATGCTTAGTGAATTTTCTGCTTTTTCCCTGACTGGTACTTAGTCTAAATTGTAAAAATTTCGGGATGTAGTTGTATTTCTACCATTCGCGATGCATATTTACTTTGGGACTACGGAACGGTATTCCGGGAGATCCTCCTGTACTGCATATTTACTTTGGGACTACGGAACAGTATTTCGGGAGATCCCCCTGTCAGTATATTTACTTTGCGACTATGGAACGGTATTTCGGGAGATCCCCTGCACATTTACTTTGGGACTACGAAATGATATTCCGGGAGATCCCCCTGCTCATTTACGTTTAGGACTACGAGACGGTATCTCGGGAGATCCCCTGTTATGTTTCTGTGTACTGAGTTGTTACCTTCNTATTATCTTCTGTATTTTTCCTTGTTAGACTCTAATGTATAGAGATACTAGATCTTTCCTTCTGTAGTTTGTGATTCACGATGTTCCGGGTTTTGGGATTTGTTGTGTATTTTGAATAATTGGTTAAATTTATATTTTTATTTCAATATTCCGCAAAATGTTAGGCTTACCTAGTTGTAGAGACTAGGTGTCGTCACGACGTCACACGGAGGAAAAAATTGGGTCGTGACAATTGTGAAGGGCATCGCAACTGCGAGTGTTTCTTAGCATTTGCGAAGCTCAGGTCGCAATTGCGACACCTGCAACTGAACAAAATGACTTTTGGACGGGATTTTTGATTCATTTCCCAAATCTTCAAAACCTAAAACCTCAAGAGGCGATTTTGGGCGATTTTTACGGAAAAATATTGGGGTAAGTGTTCCTTATCTTATATTGATTATATTTCATGATTTCATACTCATTTATATCATGAATCCGTGAATTTATGGAAGAAAAATCAGATTTTTCTAAAAGCTTCCAAAAACAAAAATTTAAGATTTGAAGATCCATTTAATATCGGAATTGGATAATTTTTATATGGATGGACTCGTCTCAGAATGGGTGTTCGGATTTCGTAAGTTTTTTCGAGATTTGAGACGTGGGTCCCACTGCCGAATATTTTAATGAATTTTGAATTTTATCCGGAAAACTAGTAAATTCATATGGAATTAATTCCTATGATTGGTATTGAATATATTGAATTGTTTGTGAATAGATTTGAAGCTTTCAGAGGCAAATTTTAAAAGGAAAAGTTGTGGTTGAATAATTGATTGGAATTTGCAAAGCGAGGTAAGTGTCGGGGTTAACCTTGACTTGAGGGAATAGAACCCTTAAATTATTTGTTATGTGAATTGCATGTGAATGATGTATAGGCGAGGTGACGAGTGTCTATACGTCGTCAAATTAATTGTTTGCCTGCTTACTTGAAAAATTATAAATTATTTTTAATCATAAATTAATTATTATAATAATTGTTTCTCTCTTATTCTTTGTCAAATATTAATTCTTGAATTCCTGCATTAATTGTTACATATTATTTGAATTATGTATTTTAATTGTTATTTGACATATAGCATATTAAATATTAAACTGCCTATTTTCTCCCTGATTTCTATAATAATTTGCTATTTGTCATTGTTTGTTTCATAATTAAATCATAATTATTATATGCTTGTTGTCTTATAATCTTATATTAATTGTTGCATTTATTGGAGAAATTTTTTCTACAAGAATTGATTGAAATGGATATATTGGAGGATCGGGGTGCACGCCGCAACAGACTTATTAAAAGTCAATATTGGAGGATTGGGTTGCACGCCGCAACAGACTTAATAAAAAG